ACAGTAAAAAAAATGGAACCGAAAATTAAAATTTGTGTACGAGAGTGAAATTAGAAATATTGTAAGTGAGTAAAGTGAAATTGTGTCCAGAATCCAAAAAATAGATGAATTAAAAATGAATATTTTAAGCAAATTAATTACTGAAATTAGACTATATTGGAAAACAAGGAGAGAATAGAAATTAAATTGAGTACAAAATGAATAAAATAAATAAGACAATATAAAACTAGAAAGTTTAATAAAAAATATAAATTAAATAATAAAAGAGAACAAATTAAAAAGTTATAATAGATTTTTATTAAGTTCGTTAAACTAAAAAATATGGTAACAATAGAAGAAGATGGTGGACGAGACAAATATCAAAACTTACCCTAAAGAAGATTTTTTTTCTCGTCATACTTCTATTTATAGAGTGTAATAAAGAGAAAATAAGTTTAAAATTAATTAAAATTAAATTAAATATTTTCTCAATTACAAATTTTGCACTATTATAGATTATTGAGTGGAGAGAAATTTCTGAGATTGATTGGAATAATTTAAATTATTTCCTGATTTGAGTTTATCCAATACTAATTTATATTTAATTTTTTATTTTTACAGTTTTAATATTCCCACAATAATTAATTTAATTTATTCAAAATTTCTATTTATAAAATAAGTGAGCTATATAAACAAATTTTAACTTTAATGAGTGAAACTAGGTTACACATGATGATTATTATGAATCTAAACATTTATTTTCATTAATTTAACCTATTTTACATTATATTTCTTCTAAAACAAAAAAATAATAGAAATATGGATTCTAGAGATATGAATGTATAATGTATAAGTTGATGCTAAAACTGTATGAAACATATTAAATATATGATTTATGAAAAAAATAATTAACTTTAAAAATAAAGAACAAAATAACGTACGATTATTTAAACAATCGTACAAACCCTCGATATAATCATTTGATTAAACAACGGTACAAAACCTGGATATAATCATTTGGTTTTGATTTATGATGTTACTTTTATACACAGGTCAATATTTAGTTACGCGTAACTTAACCTAAATTTTCAAAGGAGAGAAACCATGCATGTGTAGAAAAAAGGTGCTTTAGCCATATTAAGTTAACGACATTGTAGTTAAATTTTACAAAGCAGGAAGTTCAAACCATATTCAGCAACAATGGCTGCAAATTATGAGGGAGACGTAGGAGTATATATATATATATTAATCTGAAGGAATATGTATAAGAATGATGTGAGTGCAATTTCTCTGGTCCTTGGTATTGCACACATACAATTTATCCATTCTAATCTCTCTACTGATTTGATCTAAGGAAGATTGAAACATGCCAGCATTTTATTCCTTTTGGTGGGTTAAGAATATGAATAAATCCTGGGGAATATGATATGCAAAAAGTGTGATGTGCAGATCATTAATTTAACCTAATTATAATATACGAGAGCATATGTATCCATCGATTTTGATTGAATTTAAAGTTGACTAATGTCACAAAACTCTTTTACTTTTATATTTAACTATAAACATGACTAAATTAATATATATAAGTAAAATAAAACCTTACATTAAAGTGAATTATATAAAATTAAATTTATATCAATTTTCTAATATCATATCAGATACTATGTTAAAAATCTTACTGATTAGAAATATCAATATAACATAATAATAATAATAATACATTGGTTAGACTATATCTAATACATATTAGATTTCAGATTATAAATCTAATCTAATTTTACATATATATATAAGATAAGATATGGAATAATATGTTATTAAAAACTTTGATAGATATGAGGTAGAAAGCAAATTAAGGTTTGTCCAGGATGAAATGTGTATAAATTGAGGATGGCCACAATATTTGTTTTGGGAGATAATTGCATAATTAAATGTGAGTCACATATAAGTGTATAGATAGATATCTAGGATATACATGTATAGTAATGTTACTATTTACCAATAGAGAATGTGGTTTATTTTGCTTTTTGCCTACCCCCACCTATTAGTACTTGTTTCACATTTGTTCATAGTGCTGCCCAATATTTTATATGGTGGATTCCACCAACCTCAACCTAATTGCTTGTTGGAATCCATACACGAAACCACCAACTTTAATTCCTTTGGCGCCCCCTCTTTGCATTTCTATGCTCCTTCCCTAATTATTTTACTTGAATAAGTATACTTGTTTTTTTCTTTTATCTTTTAATCTATCCACGTGAAACAAAGTTGTGTCATATATTATACACACAGAAAGAGAGAGAGGGAAACAGAGATAACTTAAATCATGTCCATTATCACCATATTATATTAATCTACTATATGATAATCAACACACACAATACTCATTTCTTTCACATATATACAATACAAACTATGACATCCTCAACTTAAGTTCTTTTACTTGTAATTCGTAGGTATTAGGTTTTAGTTTTAAAAAGATTATCTTCAGTAAAAACGTAACATACAAATAAAATATTATAAGACTACTACCTAGTACAATGGAAAAAAAAAACTATATTTAACACGTCATTTCAATTAATTTTAACTTTCTTTTATTATCTTAGGTATTATTTGTGTTTGATAAACAAGCAACTTTATAAATGCTACTAAAGGTGACAGCTTTTTGAAACACTGCCAGAAATTGTATTTTTTAAAACATTAGCTTCTACCTTTTACCTTTTTGTATTTATTCCTATTTTGTCTTAAAAATTGTTAAATTTTATTTTTATTTTGTGTGTATAACATGATTTTATTATTTTTACTTTTTTCATAAGGTAAAAAATTATTATTTTTAATCTTTTAATAAAAGAGATATTCATGATGATAGAAAATAAGTATATTATTATTATTATTATTATTTACCATAACTGCTGAAACTAGGTGATCACAAGAGAGAGATTCTATATATTGTGGAAGAGGGAAAGAGAGACATATTTATGACGCGGGATAATATTTTTTTGTTAGAGATATGGTATGGTGTACATAGGTTGATAAATACTCATACCTAAGACATAAAGAAATAATAGAGTTAGGGTAAATTTTTTTTTTCATTAATCTAATATTTGCTGTGTGAAAAAGACAACAAAACATAACCCCCGACGTAGTCACAAGATAAGAACATACATGTATTTAGAAACTTGATTTCCATTTTCTGACTTTCAAATCAGATTTCCAAATGTACTTTCTGGCTATGTTTATTTTCAGACAAATTTTGAACACTAGCAATTGATTGAGAGTTGAACGAAATGTTGTTTGTAGTATCTTGTTATCCATTTTTTGAAAGGTTACTCAATATAACTTTAAAGGAAAATTGAAATGACGAAGACGAAGTGATTGGAAGGAAAAAGCTATAACAATATAAATTCAATTCTTTTTATAGAGCCCCTCCTAGTAATATAAAAAGAAAAACATTTATGGTATGTTTTAGTCACTGTATATATATATATATATATATATATATATATATATATATATATATATATATATAATCAAATTATTTTAAGATTGGGATGCTCTTAACTTTTAATTTTTTTTGCTACAGTCCATAATAGAAGTCAGAAAAATAAAAAGTTGAATATTTGTGCACATAATAAATATTTTCTTCTTCTAGAACTAATTTTCTAAAAAACAATAAAAACATTGATGACAGATATGAATACAAACAAATAATAATTGGTCCCAAAGTTTTTCATATAAAGTTTTGTTATTGTCTTTCCTAATATCTAGCATTTTGGTTTGACATAATCCCACAAATGTCAATATAGAAGACAAGTTGAGGTGAAGAGGTATTCCATACGCAAATGGCGTTGCATACGTGGGGCATGAGTGGATAATTTATGCTTGGTGGGAGCCATAATCAAGTGTAAATTGTTGTAATTGAAATCCAAGGAGGCCACCAATTAGTTATATCTCATCCTCAATTAATCACTTCTTTCATTGTTTAAAATAATTGAGCATGACCCTTCTGATGTTGAAACATGTATCAGATCCATCCACTATCATTCTAAGCTATCTGTGAATGACTACTTCCCACGTCACTCGCACTAACTTTTCAGTGAGACATAACAAATATGGGTTTCTCCTATTAGCCTCATAGTTGATCATGACTCGTTATATCAACCTTCTCATAGGGACACAATAATTTTCAAATAATGTCTAAACCATTGCATAGCCGTGTTAAATTAGATGTTCAAATCTTCAACTGTGGCTGATTGCCAGATATATCTGTTCATCTCAAATAAGATATTGCACATCAATGATTGAGGATTATGACATGTAGATTTATGTGTGGATCGAGACCAGTAACTTATTCATTTTTTATTTTATTTTTTTACTTTGGGAGAGAACCACATATAGGTGAAAACCCTAACTAGGTGATTTTTCACACTCTCGTGGTTCTTAATGTTGTGCACATTATAGCATCCATTCTTACGTAACACCCCATAGGAAAATATATCATTGATTTGCATGCGTCATGACTAAGCACTATTTTTCTAATCGTTTACCATTGAAATCAAATATCCCCACTCGCATAAACAAACACAAAAGTGGCCATGATGAGAGAGAGAGAGAGAGAGAGAGAGAGAGAGAGAGAGAGAGAGAGAGATAGAGCAAGATGAACTATATTTTCTAGAGATATATACAAACAACATTTCTCTTGTATTTTTTTATTCTGTTATACATATAACATTATTCTAGTAATTGTACTTGGAATATGTTTCTTTTTTTCCCCTAATGGATAAGGGAATCTGTGGGAATGAAAATTGAGGTGAGAGAGTTAGTGCCATGCACTACTGTGAAAACCGGTGCCTCTTACAATTTTACTTTTGGGGCCTATAAAAAGGCCATTCACCATTCTGAATCATGTCATCCACAAACTCACAAGTCAGAACCAAATAGCTCATTACTGAGTTCGTGAGTTTGTGAGTTTGTGAGTGAGTGTGTTTTCTGTGTGTGGGAAGCATAATCACAATCACAAGATGGAAGATCAAAATGCTTCCAGTGGATTTGGCAAAAATTTCCGCAAGGTTAAACCTTACCTTGCCATGGTGTCCCTTCAGTTTGGTTACTCAGGAATGTACATCATCACCATGGTTTCTTTCAAGCATGGCATGAGCCATTGGGTACTCTCAGTGTACCGTCATATAGTTGCCACACTCATCATGGCCCCTATTGCATTTTTCCTTGAAAGGTGTCTCTCTTCTCCTCAAAATCTTTCTTCTCAAACTTTTGCATGACTTAACTGTGTTTGCATTCTCGTATGTTGTGTTTTTGTAAACTAAGATTGTTCTGAAACAAACACACATTCTATCATGTAAAAGTTGTCTATTTTCTCATTTCATCAATATTAATAAGCACATATACCAAAATCCATGCACAAACAACTTGCACGAACAAAAGTAATGTTTTTCCCATTTTATGTCTTTTGTGGCTATTTTAACTTTTTCCTTAATTAACTTGCGACGATTTATAAGTGTTTGTGTTTTTTATGCTCCCTTTTTACAGAAAAATACGACCAAAGATGACTCTCCCTGTGTTCCTGAGGCTAGCCGTTCTTGGTTTCGTCGAGTAAGGCTCTTCAACTCTCTCAACACGTATCAATATAAAAATTCCAACTACTTAAAATCGTACATTTTGTTTGTTTCTTCTAAAGTTTCTTCATGGACCCAACTGAAAAATATTTGAAGTATACATGCATGCATGCTTTTCTAGCTATGCCTATAATACCTACACCCTTATCCTATTACTATGAAAAACAACATATATATTCTTCCTTGTTGGGAAAAGGCCACCTATGACACAAGAAATTATTCAACCTATTATGCGTTTAAATTTTGCATTAAAAAAAATTAAAGGTTAATAAAAATCGATCTAAATCACCTAATAATTTCATTAAACATATTTCTCTTTATTCATAGCTTTTAGCCTGCTAATTGGTTCTGTCGTGTTGTGTGTCTCATTGAAAACGAAATCGCTATAGAAATTAAGGAATACTAATTGCAAAATCCAAAATATCACATATTAGAAATGCGACAACTCGACAATGGAGCTGCATCATTTGGGCCCACCATTTCAAGTGGACACATCATACTGTAGAAAGCAATCCACCACAAAATGGTAAATATAATATAAAATTCTTTACGAGACCCATTCAATGACAATTTCCATTATCAAATGATTTTTACCAGTTAGATTACTTTTTTCTGTGAAGAGTTGAATTTCAACTAGATGTCTGTCTCTAAAATTTGAAAAATTACAATAGTATTATCAATTTTCTTTCATTATTTTAATTAATTATTATGCAATGGAAGATATTAAGGAATATAGTGTTACTCTGAAGAAAATCATTTACATGTTCAACCACAGATGACAAAGAAACTGAAAGTGCAGGATGATCTAAAGCATCAAACCTACATATATCATCTTACCAATATAACATGAGGGGATATAAACTTTGTCGAAAGAAAATGACAGAATATGACAAATAGAGACATCTTTTCGGACAAAGAATCTACCATCTAGTCTAAGTACGAAATAGGCGCATCTTTTGTACTTTGAGATATGACTTTATTCATGGATTTGATTATGATTTAAATTTTAATACTACAACATTGTAGTTGAGAAGTTTGAGATTACATAATACATGGTACTTTTTATCTATTATAAAGAAATAGTACTCTTCGTTTTTTACACAATTTGTCTGATAAATATGTTTGTGATGAAAACAGGCCAGTGCTTGATCAAAACTTGTACAACATGGGGATGAAGAACACCTCAACAACGTTTGCATCGGCCACGGTTAATGTTCTCCCAGCCATTACTTTTATAATGGCACTTATTTTCAGGTAACTAGATGCTTCAATCTTTCACCATAATATTCATGACAGCTTGTTCTCTTACGCAAAAGAAAAATAAAAAAGGCTCTAGTTGCATACCTATAGCGGAAACGAAAGGCACACTCACACGAGGAGGAACTTTACAGTACTATATTCTTGATAGTTATTACCACCTTTTATTTAACAAATTTTTGTTCGAACATTTCAAAAGATAAAATGCTATGTTTATGATTATTTTCTCAAGGAGAATATTACGGGTTTTTTTTATTTTGTTTTTAACTTCTACATTTAACATAAATGCATGTTTTTAAGGAGACTGAAATAACATCAATTTTACTAAATATAAATAGTAAAAGTAAATAAAAGTTTGTTAAGACTAAACCTAATTCATAATATTTTGAGAAAACAAAATTATCGTCATTAATAATGAGTGAAATTTAATTAGTGGAAAACAAAAGACAACAAACATGATCAATTACAGGAGATTTTCATCACTATACTTGATGGACAAGACAATGCATGGTATGGGACCACCCGTTAACAAGTGCCATCACAAATGGGTCATACTCTACTTTTAAGATTATTCATAATATATGTTAATCAAGACTTTGATGTAATGCAATCCAACGCAATGTGTGTGTGGAAGTTGCTTTAAGCAACAAAACAAGAATTTCAAGGGGTGCATCATGTCTAATCATGTTATTCTTGCAATGTGATAACCAGGTTAGAGACAGTGAATTTGAGAAAAATACATAGCGTGGCCAAGGTAATTGGAACCGCAGTAACAGTCTCAGGAGCCATGGTTATGACTTTGTACAAAGGCCCTGCCCTTCAGTTCGCCAAGGGTCAAGCAACCCACCATGAAAGTGGCAGCACCACACAACCCTCTGAACAAAACTGGGTGCTTGGCACAGTAATGCTGCTAGCAAGTTGTGGTGGTTGGGCTAGTTTCTTTATCTTGCAAGTATAATACACTATCCTTTGCACTTTCTTTCACTTTCATATATTAATTATTTTATCACTAAATAGTATAATATAGTTTTATATCATAATCAATGATAAAATAAATGTTATTTTTACATTAATGGTTTTAAAATTCATATTTTCTGCTATAAATTTTGAGTGGTTGTAAATCAGAATTATATTGAGAAGACATAAGCTAAACTCTTGTTGTATTCAAACACGCTAAGATCTAAGGGAAACAAAATGTTCTTTTACTAATGATGTGACTTTTGTTACTGTGTTTTGTGGTTTATAGTCTTTCACTTTGAAGATGTACCCGGCAGAGCTTTCAGTCACAGCTTGGATTTGCTTTCTGGGAATTTTTGAGGGTTCAATTGCAACCCTTATATTTGAACGTGATATGAGTGTGTGGTCCATAGGCATCGACTCAAGGCTCCTTGCTTGTGTTTATTCTGTGAGAACCTTTTCAGACTAATCTACCAACCCATTTGTTGTTCACACCTTATACTTTTCAATTCATTAATAATTAGTAACTATTTTTTCAACCCTACAGACTAATTATTTAGTTTAATGGTTAATATGGTTCAACTAATTTACACTCATGTTTTGACAATTAACTAGGGTTTGGTATGTTCTGGAATGGCATACTATGTACAAGGAGTTGTGACCAGGGAACGTGGACCTGTGTTTGTGACTTCTTTCAGTCCACTATGTATGATTATCACTGCGGCATTAGGATCCATTGTATTGGCTGAGCAAGTTTACATGGGAAGGTAAGCAAATATACAATGATAAAAAATAACATACATAGTCCCTCTCTTTATTACCAATGTCAAAATTAAAATTTGTGTTTTTTCTTTTTGCAGTGTAATTGGAGCTATTATCATTGTGAGTGGACTTTATACAGTGGTGTGGGGAAAAAGCAAAGACAATGTGAACAAAAGCGAGGCAGAGAAACGTGAGGGCCAAGAATTGCCAATTAAGGACAGTACAGCATCAGGATCAGACATTTTTGACGGCATTGAGATCAATGTTCCAACTGGGGCAGGAAAGAATGTGGTTGCATCACCAAGAACTTAATAGGTCCCTTTAGGACTACTACCATAGCAGATTTTCCTACTAATTATTAAAATGATATCTAGAGAGATTTTGTGCTATGTTCAAATCTTTCCCCCAATGTCTGCTATAGGGGCTGCGTTTTGCTATGTACCTTGCTTTGACCCTTTGTATGTCGCTGGAGCTTGAGTAAGAGTAAAATAACACTTTGATGCTTTTGTCCTTTTGAGGTCCTCTCTTTCTGTCTCTTTTACTCTTTTTTGGTGTGTTCTAGTTTTCTATCGGATTTTGTCTTCAAATTTGGGCAGCTTAGAAAATCTATCCATAGACTATATATAAATGAAAGCTTTTCTCTACGTGTTAATCTTTTTTTTTTAAATCTTTATATTTTTGTTTAGGGTTTAAGATATTCAAGATAAATTTATATTAGGAGAAAAGAAAGTGAAAAGAATATGAGATAATTTTGTAAGTTATTTAGTTGCGCTAAAAGTGAGAGAAAAGAAAAACCAAAAATATTCATTCATTAACCATAGCACATGAAATCTTAAACATGTATGAAATTACCCCTCTTCCTCATGCTGAACACAATTCAATGCCCAATTATTTTTTCTTCTCTATCTACCAATGATTGCTGCTAATCCAAAACCAATGTACCCATGTTTTGTGGTGTAATAAACCAGGATCTTACTCCCATTTATATCATTCACTAATGCAAATGGAGTGTGAAACAAACTAGAATATATTCAATACGGCTCATTCAATAACTTTACACATTTATCAGAAAATCTGATAGAGTTTCCTTTCCTTTATTTTTGGTATATCCTATCATAGCATTCAATATATATATATATATATATATATATATATATATATATATATATATATAAATGTAACATCATAATTCATGACCTATGATTAGATAAAATTTTTCTAATTATTAGTCAAAGCCTCTAGTGTCAAGTCCTATAAATATTAAAAATGATTTTTTTTACGCTTCCAATTAGCTAGGCATACATTATTACAGAAACTAATTAGAAAAAAATGGTGTGTGATATTAAAACACTTCAAGTCACTATTATGAAGCCTACTTTCATCCAGTAGCCATGGTACATATGCTAACTAAAAGTTTGTGTTTATCAGGCCACAGTGTGGTCATGACATCAATTCATTAGGTCATTGATCAAATTAATTGGTTGAATCAGTGAGTGGTTGAACCACATAAATTAATTAATTTATGTACATTATTATTAAACTATAATATACAATTTACATATAGTTGCATATGATATACTGTGGTTTATTCTATCTATTTCGTATTTAGAGTTTATTTGTTTATTGATTTTAAAAAAATGTTTTTAAAAATAAAATCAAATAAAATAAATATTTGTTAAATTAAAAAATTGTTTTTTAGTTTTTACAAATTAAAAAAATAATAAATTATATTTTCTGATTTTATTAATGATACGGTTATAAAAAAACATTTGTTTAGTGAATTTATTAAAGTTATTCTCCAACTTTTATTCTGACTTTTTGGTTTCAATAGTGTCATTTTTTTAAAATTAGTTTCTAAAATTATATTTTAAGAATTAAAAAATAAAAATAAATTAAACAAACTATCAATCTCATGTTTAATTCTTTACTTATACTTTTTTTCTTACACTAATCTAATTACATGCAAGCTCGTGTTAGGATTCAAGGCTCAGTAGAACAAGTCCATATTTTAAACTTTAAGACTTCCCCTCTAATTGATCACTATGATCAATTCCTAATAACCACACTTGAGATAAACTACAGCTGCTTGAGACCATTGTCATTGGTCATGCGCGTTGAATAAGCACTAGCCTTCACTATTAACCCATTGAAAGCTTTGGTGGTTAATTGCATTTAGTTATAAATTGGGTGAACTTACATTGCACGTCCAATCCTCTAGTCCCACTAACCAAATTGGGATTGAGATTGCAAAGGAAGAATCACAATTGTCAACGAATTTTTTCTATCTTAACATTTACTCACTCTGGTCAGTTTTTTATCATTTTTCTTATACAATTTGTTATTGAATTTAACATGTTAATTTGCTTCTTGTTGTTGAATTACTGTTAAGGAGTTAATTGAGTATAAATTTCATTGAGAAACTCACCTTTATTAGACAACATTTGCATCTTTTTGCTGTAATCTTAACCTTAAAGAGTATAAAAATCATGAGAAGATTTTGTCAAGTAACTATTCTCTCAAGTTATTCTTTGATTCAGGTTTTGAAAGAAGAGAAAGAGAAATTTTGGAGGAAGAAAATTCGCCCAGTGCATCTATAATGCGCCCAGCGGATTTTGGCTAAACCCAATCCGCCCAGCGCATTTATAAGGCGCCCAACGGATTTTCCTGACGAAGTGGGTGCACGCGGGGCTCAATCCGCCCAGCGCATCATCCCGGCGCCCAGCGGATTTTCCTCTTCTTAGACCTAAATTCTATTTAAGAAATGGAAGAACAGAGAGAAAAGGGGGCTTGCGCGGGGAGAAAGAAAGAAAGACGATTTAGACCTAAAGGAGCTCGTGGGAACGCATATCAACTTGAATCCAACAAGTTTTGTTGTAATTTCTTCTCTTTCTTCTCTTGCTTTGTAATGAGTTCCTCCATGAGGAGCTAAAACTCTTTGGTTGGATTGCATGTAACTACTTTCAGACCATTTCTCCATATATATGATTTTTGTTTACTACAGTTGTGTTTGATTCTATTCGTAATGTTTTCTTCGGAGTGATTAACCGATTTAAGATCTTAGGGTTTTGATTGTGTTGGAAAATGTTTTCATTAACCGGAAATGGATCAAATGCTTAATAGACAACCTCTCTAGGAATAGAAGTGTGTTTATTAATCATGTTAATCTCAAGATTTATTTGTAAGGCAGAGTGTTAGGTTTGAACTGTTGAGGAATCACATTCATGGTTAACACCCTAGGACTTGGTTTTGAGGAATCGGGCCAAGTTATCTATTGAGAGTGAAATTGTAAAACAGAAATCATATGGTTGAGAAATAGGGTTGGAAGCAAGTGCATGTAATTCAATCTGCTTTATTTATAATCACTTTTCGTTATACACCAAAAATTGCGATTATTTTAGTAGTTTGCCTTAAACAATACTTTCAATCCATGATGACAACCATATCTTATCTGCAATATCACTAAGTCACAAATCCCTGTGGACGATAACTCTTTACTACATCGAAACTTGGTACACTTGCCGGGTAATTTGAATCCATGAGTAAAAATATTAACAATTACGGTTTAAATTGGTTATAGATTTTAATATTGTTAGATATGTGATGATTGAAAACATAATTGATTACATTGACTTAATTATATAATTAATGATATAATCAATTATCATTAACCCCTAATTAATTATATCATTATGTAATACAACATAATTGATAGTCTATATATTCGTAATTTATTATGAACACACTCATAATTGATTATGTGTGCATTTGTAGTTCGTTATATTGAAATGCGATGATGAAATTCTTCATATTGTTACAAAATTATAGAGAAACAATACATACGAGTGATGTGTTATGAGTGTTTGTATGCAATGATTAGAGAATATAATTATAAAAATATGATTGAAATAATTATTATAAAAATTATATATGTATTTTTAGGTGAGTAGGGTTGGTTATTTGTAACCCAAAACTGTAATGATTTTAGACTAACAGATTTTTGGTTTTGTACTAGAAACAGAACCAGACACCTTAAATACTATCTCAGTTCATGTAAACTTAGAGTGTGAAAAATAAAAAGTTGTTTTTCAGTATATTTATCTTTTCCTTCTTGAAAAAATGTGTTTCTTCGTTCCTCTTGTTGTACGTTAACACAAACCCTGCAAAATAAAAGGAAAACCACGATTAATGAAATAGAGAGAAGATTAATCGGTGAAAGTGAAAGCAGAGAGGTGATTCATTGATGTGGTAGCAGAGAGGAGTGATCAGTGAAGAGAAGAAGAGATGAAGTAGAGAGGAGAGGATAAGGGCTCGAGTGTTCGAGAGAGAAAAAGATAAGATTGCAGAAGAGAGAGAGAGAACTGAAAAAGGAGAAGTAACGCGCGGTAGGTGTGGCAGTAGAGATATTTTTCTTTTTCATTGTGAGTTTGGGCTAAAACTACTGTGGAAGGCCCAACAGAGTGGTATCTAGAGCAAGGTTCAAGAAGAAAGAATCTTGGGAGTGTAAATGCGTGTTATACTCATGGCTGGTGGAAATTTAATACCGGGAAACCTACCTATATTTGATAGGAAAGGTTATGATGACTGGTGTGTAAAGATGGAGGTGATTATTGGCTTCCAAGAAATTGATGAGATTGTAAAGGTGGATTTCAAAGAACCACCCAAGAATGCAAATGAAGAGATCAAGAAAACATATAAAGAGATGAAGACACTAGATTGCAAAGCCCGGGTGTTATTGCATCAATGTGTAGCAACAAACATTTTTCAGAAAATCTCCAAGGCAGGAACAACAAAGGAGGCTTGGGAGATTTTGCAGAATGGGTATAGAAATTCTGGGAAGATGAAAAAGATGAAGTTGCAGTCCTTAAGGAGACAATATGAACTCCTTGCCATGAATGAGAAGGAGACAGTGACTGAATATTTTGAGAGGTTACAGGTGATTACTAATGCCATGAAGACATGTGATGAGAGCATAGAAGACAACAAGATTGTTGAGAAGGTGTTGAGGACCTTAACCCCACAGTTTGACCACATTGTGGTGGCCATAGAGGAGTCAAAAGATCTTGATGAGATGACAGTGGAGAAACTGCAGAATTCACTCGAAGCACATGAACAAAGAGTGAATGAAAGGAAGAATGGTGAGAAGGTAGTAGAGCAAACATTATAGGCCAAAGTGAGTCATAGAGGAAGAGACATTAATGGCTAGAGAGGAAGAGGCAGAGGAAGATATGGTGGCAGAAACAATGATGTAGTGACTCAAGACAACTCTGGTAAAACTGGATCTGGAGGCAGAGGTGAGAATTAGAATAGAGGAAGAGGAAAAAAGTTTTATGACAAGAGAAAGATACAATTCTATAACTGCAACAAGTATGGGCATTATTCCTATGAATGTTGGCAGGAAGACACTTCAAACAATGGGCAGAAAGAAGAAGCAAACATGGCATAAGAGAAAGGTGGTGAATCTGATTTTGACAAAGTATTGTTAATGGCTACAACAGACAGTGAGGAAGACGATATGGTTTGGTATTTGGACATAGGATGTTCCAATCACATGACTGGAAACAAAAACTGGTTGATTGATCTTAATCCATGAGTGAAGAACAATGTAAAATTTGCATATGACAGTTCCATTATAGCAGAGGGAATTGGAAGGGTGATGATTACGAGAAAGGATGGAAAAATGGCTTATATGAATGATGTCTTATATGTTTCAGGCATGAAGAATAATCTACTCAGTCTGGGACACCTATTGGAGAAGGGTTTTACCATGAACATGCAATAGAAATTTATTGAGATATTTGATTCACAACAGAGGTTAGTGATCAAGGCTCCATTATCCAAGAACAAAACATTTAAGGTGAAGCTAAATACTACTAAAATTCAGTGTTTATTTGCTACTAGTATGGAGGAAGAAAGTTGGCTATGCACTAGTAGAAAATAGGCTTTTAACATCGGTTCCCAGTGGCTTTTAACATCGGTTCTAGAACCGATGTAGAAAGTGTGACTTTCCACATCGATTGTAAGGAACCGAGGTTTTACCATGAACATGCAATAAAAATTTATTGAGATATTTGATTCACAACAGAGGTTAGTGATCAAGGCTCCATTATCTAAGAACAAAACATTTAAGGTGAAGCTAAATACTACTAAAATTCAATGTTTATCTACTACTAGTATGGAGGAATAAATTTTTTTCTTTATTTTATATCATTATATAAATTCATTATAAATATTATATTCTATATCATTATAAATAAATTATAAAGATTATATTCTATCATTAAATTACAAATTCATATAAAGAGATTCGCTCACAAATTTGGCATCAAATTTTGAAAACCCACTTGACACACACTTTCACCCTCGAGCGCGTTCTCACATCCAACATATAAATATATTTGTATACTGTATTTATATATTTTATATTTTTATATTTACATGGATATACATTTTTATTTGTATATAAATATAATTTATTTATAAGTTATTATCAAAAAATCATAGTAGTTTAGTGGTTGGAGTATCGGTCTTCAATTCTAAGGTACTGGGTTTGAATCCTACCAGAGATTAAGCTACCAGCCAAGGTCTGTAAAGGATGTGTGATTGAAAAATAACCTAGAAAGGTTTTTAAGGCCACTGCACCAAAAAGGGCCAATAAAATATTGGAGGTTGTGTGTGTGGTCCTTTAGATACACCTACACTAGGAGGAAATAAATATTTTCTCACTTTTATGGATGAATTTTCAAGGAAAATCTGGATCTATCTACTGAAAAAAAAAGGGAGAGGTATTCTCTGCATTTGTGAAGTTTTGTGCAGTAGTTGAGAGACAATCCGAGAAGAAGGTGAAAGTTCTCATAATAGATGGAGGTGGAGAGTATAGGTCCAAGGAGTTTGACAATTTTTGTGAAGAGAAAAGATAATGCATGAGGTGACTGCACCATATACACCCCAACACAATGGGTTGGCTAAGAGGAGAAACAGGACATTGGTTGATATGACAAGATGTATGCTGAAAGGAAAGAATTTGCCACATTGTTATTGGGGAGAGGCAGTTACTACTACTGCCTACATACTTAACAGATGCCCTATGAAGAGAATGGAAACAATAACACCAAAAGAGATATGGTCAAGTGTTAAGTCATCCGTGCAACATTTAAAGGTATTTGGATCTATTTGCCACAGACACATTCCAGATGAGAGAAGGAAGAAATTGGATGATAAAAGTGAGCCCCTAATCCTAATAGGATATCACCCAACAGGAGCCTACAAGCTGTATGACCTAGATAAGAAGCAAGTAGTAATCAGCAGAGATGTTATTATGGATGAATCAGCCTCGTGGAGCTAGAAGGAAGATAGTGATCCTGTGACATATCCTCCATGTATTCTGGAAGAGAAAATTGAAGCCCCGGCTACTATTTCAGAAAGCAGCAGAATTCAGAGAATGAGATTTCCCTCCACCAGACTTGCTGGTTATGAGGTGTTTAATGATAATATGATTACAGTCACGAGTGATTTGGCACACCGGCCACTAATGGTAGATACAGAGCCTATTACATGGAGAGAGGCGTTGAAGATCAGAGAATGGAAGGATGCTATGGTGGAGGAGCTGGAGGCAATTGAGAAAAATAGAACTTGGGAATTGATTGACTTGCCACAAAATAAAGTGCCTATAGATGTAAAATGAGTCTTCAAATTGAAGATAAAACAGATGGGTTTGTGACCAAATACAAGGTCAGGTTGGTGGCTAAGGGATTTCTACAACAACGAGGAATTGTTGGTTACAGCAGTGGCAAGTTCCAAAGGCTAGAAGATGATTCAGATGGATGTGAAGTCAGCTTTCCTTAATGGCCCATTAGAAGAAGAGGTGTACATTGTATAGTCACTTGGGTTTGAGAAGGAAAGAAGAAAACATTTAGTATACAGGCTGAGAAAGGCTCTGTATGGACTCAAGCAAGCCCCTAGAGCCTGGAACAAACTAATGGATGCTGTATTGGCTAAATTGGGATTCATGAAGTGCATGGTTGAGTTTGGAATGTATGTGAAGAGCACAAGTCATACAAACATACTCATTGTATGCTTGTATGTCGATGACCTGATTATTACCGGAAGTGTGGAGGTAGAAATTGAAGAGTTAAAAGGCAGAATGAAGACTGAATTTGAGATGACTGATCTAGGAGCACTAAACTATTTCCTTGGGCTTGAGTCTGTGCATACTGACAGAGGGGTGTTTCTACACCAGAAGAGGTATGCAGAGGAAATTCTAAAAAGATTCAGAGTGGATGAATGTAATGAAGCAGTAGTTCCAGTATTACCTAGGTTGAAACTGACAGAAGAAAAGGAGGTTGTGGTTATGGATGGAGCCTTGTATAAGCAGATTGTTGGCTCATTAAGGTTCCTTTGTAATAGTAGGCCAGATTTGAGAGTTTCGGAGTTGGTTTGATAAGTCGGTTTATGCATGAGCCGAGAAACCCCCACATGGTTGTTGCCCAGCACATACTGAGTAGGCATGACAACGGGGCGAGGGCGGGTTTTGCCTCCCCAATCCCCGCCCCCGACTTTTTTAACCATCCCCGTCCCTGTCCCCGATCCCCGCCGAGGTTAGAAATTAAGTCCTCATCCCCGTCCCCACTAGGTTTCGGGTTCTCCGCCCCGCCCGTCTCATCCCCGATCTATATTATTTTTAAAAAGATAATTATATTTATAATAAATTAATTTTACTATCTATTTTTTATATATAAATAAATATTTATAATTTTATAATTTATAATTATTATTAATTAAATATACATTTTCATTTATTATATTTATATTAGAATATATATATATATATATATATATATATATATATATATATATGTGTGTGTGTGTGTGTAAAAGAAATATTTAATTATTTTTTATTTATAATATTATTATTATTATTATAATATTGTATTTAAATATTTAGATACTTATAACATTATTATTATTATTATATTCAAACATTTGATTATATATATAAGTTAATTCATTTTTAAGTTTTCATTTAAAAATATGAAATATATAGTTTATAAGGAAATATTTAATAAGTTAATTCTTATTCAATTAGTTCGAAGTAATAAAAGTTTAAATTATCAATTCATTTAATCCTTTAAAATACAATTATTTTATTAAGATAAAATTTGATATATGATAAATAAGAATAATAAGATAAAAAAATGACATAATAAAACCTAATAAATATAAATTATAAACAAAATAATATTAATTACTACTAAGATTTATGTAAAATATTTAAAAAAAGATAAAGAATAAAAAAAATTAACTTTGTGTTCATCAAATTGGTTGAAAAGATTGAAAAAAAAAACAAATTGATGAGAGAGATTAAGGAAATGTGAAAAATTAAAAGGTAAGAGAGAGAATAATGTAATAAATTAATTGATATAAAAGACAAAAACATTAAAAAATAGGTAGAAGAAAAATAAAAATTGGTGAAATATAAAAAAATAACTCTATATGTTATAGAAAAAGAAAATGAAATATTTTTAAAATATTAATATTTTAAAATTTAAATTTAAATATAAAGTAGGGGCGGGGACGGGGTCGGAGTCGGGGTCGGGGTGGGGATTGCATTACCGCCCCAGACTTTTAAAGCAGAGAAAACTCAAACCTGCCCCCGATCAACTCTGGTTTTTCTCGTCAAACTCGGGGCGGGAACGGGTCGGTCCTCACGGGTATAAGTTTAATTGTCATCCCTAATACTGAGGTATCTAAAGGGTACTGCAGATTGGGGAATATTTTTTCCAAAGGAGGATGAACAGAATGAAGCAATACTAGAGGCATTCTCTGACTTAGATTGGTGTGAAGACAAGGTTGAAAGAAGAAGCACTTATGGGTACTTGTTCGGATACTTAGATGCATCAATTTCTTGGTGCTCTAAGAAACAGAAGGTGGTGGCTCTATCTTCTTGTGAGGCAGAATACCTACTTCAGAAGCAGCTTGTCAGAGTTTGTGGCTAGAAGAAATTCTAAAGGAGCTGAAGCTAGATTAGAGAAAACCAGTTCAACTCAATATTGATAACAAATCAGCAATTAATCTATCTAAGAACCCTACACTACATGGAAGGAGCAAGCACATTGATACGAAGTTTCATTTCCTTCGTGATCAAGTGAGCAAGGAGAAGTTGACACTAGTCTACTGCAACACAGAAGAACAAACAGCGGACATCTTTACCAAACTAGAAGCAAGCGCGGTTTGACAAGCTTAAGGAGAAATTGGGGATAACTAGATTAGGGTTTTGACATAAGGGGGATGTTGACTATTTGTAACCCAAAACTGTAACAGGAAACGGTTTTAGACTAACAGATTTCTGGTTCTATACTAGAAACAGAACCAGACACCTTAAATACTATCTCAGTTCATGTAAATTTAGAGTGTGAAAAATAAAAAAGTTATTTTTTAGTATACTTATTTTTTTCCCCTTGAAAAATCGTGTTTCTTTGTTCCTCTTGTTGTACGTTGACACGAACCTTGCAAAATAAAAAGAAAACTACGATTAGTGGAACAGAGAAAAGATTAACCGATGAAAGTGAAAGTAGAGAGATGATTCATTGATGTGATAGCAAAGAGGAGTGATTAGTGAAGAGAAGAAGAGGTGAAACAGAAAGAAGAAGATAAGGGCTCGAGTATTCAAGAGGGAAAAAGATAAGATTGCATAAGAGAGAGAACTGAAAAAAAAGAAGTGAGACGCGATATATACGGCAACAGATATGTTTTTCTTTTTCATTATGAATTTAGGCTAAAACTACTGTAGAATGTCCAACAAATACGAAAGTAATTGAAAATAGTAAAAAGTAATGCTCCTTTGAAAAAAGTGGTAACTATTTCAAATTAAGTGGCTTAAATTAATAGTAAATAATAACAAAAATTAAATAATTATTTTCACGACAACAATGCTACAAAATACTAATAAAAAATTAATAACAAATTATTAATATATCCTAATATATTGAAATAAATTAAAAATAATTTATGAAATTAGATAAATTATTTTCACAGGTAGTTCAAAAAGATAAGAAACATATAAATAAGTTCTTCTCCACACATCCATTTGATTTTTATTTTACTTTTAAATAAAGCTTACATATTTTATTTTTAAGACTCTGATTTTGATTTTAATTATAAATTATTTTTAAATAAAAAGCTAGCCAATTACAACCCTAAAATAATTACACGACAACAATATATTAGGATTTAAGAATGATGAAGACATGCGGAAATGTTTTAAAACGAACAAACAAAAGCATTTTATATTTTTGAGTTGTCAAGAGTGTCTGTGCAATCTCATTAGATTGGCTTATAGTTTGTCGTTTCTCGGTTTTGATAAAACCGAGACTTTACCAATCTTTTGCTGTGGTTCAGTTCTTTTATGTTGCAACTGAACCAATCAACCTCTCTTATATCCAAATTTTCATCACCATTGCAATCCTAAGAGTCAAAAGTGAGAAGCTTTAAATAAAAAAACAATAAAAATGGTAGTGTGGGTATTTGGGTATGGTTCCTTGATCTGGAAAGCTGGGTTTCAATATGATGAACGTGTTGTTGGTTTCATCAAAGGCTATCGACGTGTCTTCTACCAAGGTATCGTTTTTCTTACTTTTTCCCGTCACTGTTGTTTAAAAGTATTCAATTTTATTACCCGATAATGCGTCAAACACAACCTCTATGGTTTTTTCTTATATGGGTATTCCCTTTAAGGCTCTACTGACCATAGAGGGACCCCTGAGTTTCCTGGAAGAACAGTGACCCTGGAGCCTGCTGAAGGAGAAATATGTGTAAGTATTAATCTTTTGTTTTTTTGGGACCTCATTATCCTGGTTGATTTGTAATGATAACAAGTTCCATATTTCACCTATTTAAATTGTTATGTGTAGTTCATACTGTTGTTCCAGTGAGTGTACAAAGAAAGTATGATGATTACATTTATGGTGTGCATATGATAGCATATTATATGGTTAATTTGATGGAAATTGGTGTCTTTAGTTGACAGCATATTATATGCTAAGCAATAAATTTCATATTTTTTTGGGGTGGATAGGCTAAGCTAGAGTGGAATATGAACCTCTGTTGATGTGCCTTTTGCTCTATTTCTTTAGTCATTTTTCTATTGGTCTAGGCTATTGAAATTATTGCCGTATAACTGTTGTGTCTACAATTTATGCTTAAGAAATGGTATATGGCAAGATATTTTGTTGATATATCTGTTTTGTAGTTGTTTACCATTTATTATGGTATGCTTACTAAGAGTATGTTTAGTATTTTAAGGAAATCAAATCGAAATTCAACTTGGTTGTCGGGTGTAAAAGTAGAATTGCATTTCAGTTATTGCTCAATCATGCTTGCACATTTAGGTCTTATCTTTTCATAATTACTTTGGCCTTCTGAGTTTTTACTTTTAATTGTTTTGTGAATTCATATATCTTATAATGTAATTTTAAATTTCTTATTGAGTCAAAATTATCAAATGCGATCTATATTTGATACTTACTTTATTTCGCAAGGAGATAGTGGGGAGCTGCTTACATGATCTCGAAGAAAGAAGATGCAGATTCTGCATTAACGGTATGCTTTTTAAAATATTTCTATTATATTGGAATATTGTTATGCTGCAACTAAAGTTCAAACTCAAGTATATTTTTTCCAATAACAATGTTGACTTAGCTTACAAAGGGCATTGTTTGCTGTCACCTTTGTGATTGCGCATTTCTGTTATATTTCCATTTCCGATATGCATACTTTCTGCTGTTATTTTAGATTAATTGAGCTGAAATATACCATCTCAAACAAGTCAAACCAGTAGACAACCAGATAGGAAACTTGCCTACACTATGCTATTGGTATATATATATTGTAAAATGGAATACTATACTGATTTATGTAGAGTATTTTGCTCTGTTATGCATTTCGGAAGTGTTGTGTTATACTTTATGTTGTTATGAAATGATGATCAATTTATTTAAATAATTAGATATAAATGAGCTAGATTTATTGTACAGGAACACAGGATCATATCGATTTACGTTATGACATTGTACCTTTCTACACATTACAGAGGTGTTGAGGCTGTTTAATATAATATGATAACATTAGTATTTGGCAGTTTTGATTTTTTTCTAATATTCATGATATGATTACACGTTCTCCCCTTTATATGAAATCAAAGAGGTTTGCTTATTTTCTCACGCCAATCAATTGAATTCAATTGCTTAAATTGTTTGTATTAAGTTGGTATATGATTTGAGTATCTCAGTTCTTTAGATTTCCCAATTACCTTGTTTGTATTCAGTTGCTTGTATATATTTAGATTATGAAATTTTGCACTCTTGCTGTAAACAGTTCATCTAATCCCTGAATTATAGGGATCCAATTATGTCGTAATGTAAGTATAAATCAAAGACTGAGATACTGGCTTCTTCCTGTAATAAATAAATTGTTCATGGTACTAGATATAAGTGCAGAAGATGATCGGAGAGTCATAATGATCAACAATGAGAACATCACCACGGAGGCTTATGGTGGAAACTAGGAACACTGATAAATCAAGATTTGTTAAAAAGAGAGATTCAAGTCTTGATTTAAAACCTCTGGGAATGGCTAGGCTTTGTGATCTTTACTATCTCAATTTTTCATGAATGAATTAGTGGTATACTTTTGGTGTGCATTTTTAATTGGATGAGATTCTGCTAGCCCAAATAACTCCATGTCTACATAGAACAATGATATTTGGATAGACTTCCTTTCCTGGTTATTGTCTTATTGCCTGTGCAATAATATCTCAAGGTTCAGTCAAACCCTGTTTCTTTTGATAATGATAAAATTATAATCTCTTGCTCAAACTCTGATGTAGGAAAAGATTTAGTATAATGGCTAGCAACAAACAGAAAGGACCCACAATTTGGAAGGTGTACACTAAAAGGAAGTAATGTTGGAAGGGTACTAAGTTTGTTGATTGCATAATGTGACAGGTTGATGCTATGCTTCTGGTGAATGAAAGGGGTTATATAGTTTGTTTGTGCATAATATAAGGTAGGAGGTTCATTTTGCCTGGGTTGATAAAGTATTTTCTGCCGGGAGGTTCTTCTCTAGGAGAGAGTGATTCCTCTATAATCTACCCAGTGAACCATGCCATATGATATCCTTATAGGTAACCATGATATTTGTATAAATTATCCACTAATTTTGTCAATAACTAATTTCTGCCTGAGAATCTAGCAGTAGGTTCTCTCCTCCCACCAACGTTTTCTCAATCTTCAAGGCTCGAATCCAAGATATGACTTAAGAAGACCAAATCCAGTTCTTCTCAAACCAATGACTTATGAATACATGATAGTGTAATAATACCAAGCGTGCTTAATTTATTTATGAAACTGTTTGGTTCATATGGAAATCATATTATGCTCTTGACGTTGTTATACATGACATGATCATAAAGACAACACTGTCATGTCCCAAGAGACTTTTTTTCTTTTATATCAAATATCAGAAATTTAGATTGATATATTCAAGTGTAATTTTACTGCACAGTATCTGGAAGTAAGAGAGAAGCAATACGACAAAAAGGAATACCTTGACTTTTATACTGTAAGTGCCACATACCAAGGTTACTTTTTAGAGTACACTATTTTGTTTTGCATTACATTAGTAGTTTTTCCACTTATGAAAATAGACATGTATGAAATTTGTTTCAGGACCTTAACGCTACATCTCCAGCTGTTTCTGGAGTGATGGTGTAAGTAAAAGAAACTATCTTATAAACTTCACCTTTTGCATGTTTTGGTCATAATTAATGAGAACATATTACAGATACATAGCAACTCCAGAAAAGAAATCTAATGTAAATTATTTGGGCCCTGCATCTGATGAAGAGATTGCGAGGTATTTATCTTCAATCCATGTATTCAACTTTATAAAAGTTAAACTATAGTATTCTTAGATTATAAGATTGGAGTTCCTGGCTCAGGAGGCTTATGGATGATTTTCTAACACGACTAGGAACTGAAAATAGAGAAAGTTTTAGGGTGTGTATTAGCATAATTGTTTTTTTATAACAAATATTGTTTTTCCCCTTTTGTATTATTTTTAGTTATGGTAGATTCTTTCTTTTCTGTTCTATGAGATTATATATATACCCTATTTGTACTCCTTTTTAGTGTGAGAAGTTTTTAATAAAAACAGATGAATTTCATCGTATGTATATAAACAGTAAGATGGTATTAAATGTTATTTCTTGATTTCTTCCTCCGTTCCTATAGCGACCGAACCTTATACTAACTTTCACACGAATATCTTAAATCCCTTCTTTTTTCTTTTCAATGAAAAGCTTACTCTCATTCTTATCTCCACCTTGTTGGATGACAAGAATTATCATGTATGGGCCCGCACCATGAAACTTGCGCTCAAAACTAAGAATAAGCTGAAATTTTTCAATGACACTCTCTCCGAACCACCCTCAACCAATCCTCTTCACGAACCTTAGGATTGTTGCAACACAATGGTTATTTCTTGGATCCAACAATCGGTGTATAAAACCATTCTTAAATCCATTCTCTGAATTAAACATGCTTCCGACGTTTGGCAAGATTTGTACCATCGCTTTTATCAAGGAAATATTTTTCGTTTTGCAGATTTACAGGAAGATCTATACAAACTACACCAAGATACTTTTTCTGTAACTAAATTTTACACAGAGTTACGTACTTTTTGGGAGGAAATCGATAGTTTTCGTCCCTTTGTTAACTGCACATATTCTATCAAATGTTCTTGTGATGCTCTTGATTCTTCTCGACGCTATAAAAAGCAAGATTATGTCATTCAATTTCTGAAAGGTCTCAATGATCAGTATGACCTCATACGATCTCAGATTATGTTAATCGATCCTCTTCCCGATATTACCAAAGTTTTTAACATGGTTATCCAGCAAAAATGTCAATTACATTTTGTTCTTAGCTCTTCTAAAATTGTTCTTAATTCACAAGCCCTAGCTGCTACTACTACACCGAATTTGCAGTCCAAAAATGATGTTTCTAACTCGAATCCTTTCTATAGAGGACGAGGCAGAAGTCATTCCTTTCCAAGGGGTCGTAGCAGAAATAATGGATGGAGAAGTACCCATGATAATAAATTATGTACTTATTGTGAACGCACAAATCACATAGTGGATACATGTCATTACAAACATGGTTTTCCACCAAGATATAAAAATCGAATGGCCAATAATGTCGCTTCTGGTGCTTTTCCATTTAACCCTATTACTACCAACATCTCCAACTTTCACGAGATCTCACGGCCAGTGCCTAAATTTACTGAAGAGTAATATAATGACATTCTAACTCTTTTGCAAAAATCCAAATCTCCTATGCATACAACAACTTCGGTGTTTACTCCTTCAGTTAATTTTTCTTCCACTCTTCCTAAAACTTCTTTTGTTCTTCCGGTTCTTGATTATTCCAAATGTAATTCCGCTTATAAAAATATTTTTGTTTTGTTGTTACTAACATTTCTGAACCTACTACTTTCTCCTAAGCATCTAAATTGTATTGTTGGCAAAAGGCTATGAATGTTGAGTTACAAACTTTACAGCAATATAACATTTGGTTTATTGTTGATCTCCCATAAGGAAAGAGTCTCATTGGTTGTAAATGGCTTTACAAGGTTAAATATCATGCAAATGGCATTGTTGATAGATACAAAGTCCGCTTAGTGGCCAAGGGCTACACTCAGTTAGAGGGAGTGGATTATTTTGACACATTTTCACCAGTTGTCAAGATCACCAATGTCTATGTTCTTCTAGCCATAGCAGCAATTAAAGGATGGTTTCTGCACCAACTTGATGTGAATAATGTCTTTCTTCATGGAGAGCTTCATGAGGAAGTCTATATGGTCCCTCCATCTAGTTTGCTTCCACCAAGTTCTTCTCAGGTTTGTAAACTTCACAAGTCATTATATGGACTCAAGCAAGCCAGTAGGTAATGGCACTGTATTCTTTCTACCACTCTTTTATCTCTCAACTACAAACAATCTTCCGCTGATCAATCTTTGTTTATCAAGGTTACTTTCACTTCTTTCATAGCATTATTAGTTAACGTGGATGACATTGTCTTATTTGGTGATGATATGAACAAAATTAATTCTATCAAATGTGTCTTGGATACTAAATTCAAGATTAAAGATCTCGATGCTCTTTATTATTTTTTGGGATTAGAAATTGCACGGTCCAAGTACGGCATTCATATGAACCAACGTAAATACACTCTTAAACTTCTTGATGATAGTGGTTTACTTGGTTCCAAACTTGCTACCACTCCTTCTAATCCCTCTACTAAACTTCAGGCTAGTCATGGACAACTGTATTTTCCAATACTACTGCTTATTGCATATTAGTCAGTAAACTGTTATATCTCACACTTACGCGACCTGATATTGTCTTTTCTGTCCAGCAGCTTAGTTAATTCATGGCTCAACCTCTTCATGTTCATTATAAAGTTGTCATCCGGGTTCTTAGATACTTAAAAGGTTCACCTACTCAAGGGTTATTTTTCTTTGCCTCTACTCACATTCTGCTTTTGTTGATTCGGACTTGGTTTGTTGTTTAGACACTCGCCACTCGATCATCGGATTTTGTGTTTTTCTTGGTTCTTCTTTGATTTCCTGGAAATCCAAGAAGCAATCTACTATCTCTCCTTCATCCTCCGATGCATAATATTGAGCATTAGTCAGCCTCACTTGTGAGATTCAATTGTTATATTATCTTTTTCGTGATCTTCATGTTTTATTATGTCCTACAGAAGTCTATTGTGACAATCAATCTGTCATTTACTTAGCTCATAATCTTGTATTTCATGAGCGTACTAAACACATTGAGATCGATTGTCATGTGGTTTGTGAGAAAATTTAACAAAGCCTAATTCATATTTTTACTATTTCGTCTTTCAATCAGCTTGCATATGCTTTTACTAAACCTCTTCATCATACATTTTTTGACAATTTTATATCCAAGTTAGATCTTTGTAACATCCACCGTCCAAATTGAGGGAGAGTATTAGTATAATTGTTTTTCTATAACAAATTATGTTTAGTTATAATAGATTTTTTTCTTTCTGTTTTACGGGGTTATATATATATATATATATATATATATATATATCATGCTTGTACTTCTTTTTACTATGAGAAATTTTTAATAAGAACAGCTTTTAAACCAAAAACCTAGGAAATCAAACAGGGCCTTAGTATTCAAGTTTTTGTGTGTGCATGATTGATGAATTACAATTGTGTTTATCACAAGAAATGATTACCTAGTCGAAGACAATGACATTAGTTGTAGTTCTACCCAATGTTCTTTTGGCACGTGGATAATTTGTGGTATATTTTTATGATCTGTAATATATTTTTAACATTTTTAACTCTTAATTGCGAAAGGTTTTTCAAAAAGTAAAAACCCCAAACTAACACAACTGACAGTGGTTTAAACTAACAAATATTTCTGAATTATCATGCCTAGTGAAAACTTCACGTTCATGTGATTGCCTATGCACTCTTTCTTTTTCATCTTACAGGCAAATAATTAAGGCTGAAGGTCCTGCAGGACCTAACAGAGATTATCTTTTCAACCTTGAAAAGGCCCTTCTTCAAATAGGTGAGGTTCTTTGACAAGTTCATGCCATTTCAATTTTTCTCTTTTGAGTTTTATATTTATTTAACTTTTTTTCATTTTTACGAATCATTCTTTAGGATGCAAAGACAAACATGTTATTGATCTTGCAAATGAAGTCAGGCGTATTCTTGAAGAGGAACACTGAATGCTTCAGGGTGTTATTAACTACACAACATTCTGATACATTGAACTACCCTATATTTCTATCTATCCATTGGAAACTTCAGCTCTTCCAAAAGTGTTAGTTGGAAGCAATACTCAGCTCTAATTGTGCCTGTAATATTTCTCATAACATCCTGACTTTAATTGCTACAAAGTTAAACTTTAGTTATTTTTAAAGTATGAGTAGAATATTTATCTTTGTTTATTTTAATGGTTAAGTGATAATTACTGCGACTGAAAGTGTATATTTCGTTAATGATGAAATGATTTTTTTTAAGAACTGAGGAATTTGGAAGGAACATTCAAATGCACAAGTGATGAGGAAAGCAATGGAAAAGAAGAAAGATTACTATTCAAATTGCCCATGGTAATATGGTGTTTATGGAAGTATAACATTCAAATAATGAGAGCAATTTAATTTCTTTTGCGCCATAAAATTTAAACTTTTATGTTTTTTACAATTTTATGGTGTTAGAATGTTAAATTGAAAACGAAAAAAGTTTTTTTTTTTTTTACATTTCAGTTTGTAATATGAAATTATATAAAATAATAGATCTAATTATGTTTTTAATCCATAGAAAATGATATAATCCAGATTTTGATTTCTTAAATTAAAAAAAAATGTTTAAATGATTTAATCTCTATACATTAAATTTGAGGGACTAAAAATAATTTTGAATCCGACGTCTAAAAGCTTATATTATAAATTTCAATCCTAATAAAGAGAAAGTGAATTCAAAAGATGATACTAATAAATCTGTAGCTAATATTTTCTTTATAAAAAGATGTCATGAGTTAACTCGATCAGTCTTCTATTTATTTTTAAAAAAATTCAATTTCTACAAAATTTTCATGTGTGCATCGTTTAAAGGTTTCATTAAGCTATGAACTATCAAAAGTTCAAAACATTCTTAGTTGATAATATGTTTCAGAACGGCCACACTCGCACTCGTGTCTACTGTTGCATTAGGATACAGTTGCCACTTTTCTAAAGGAATGGTTCCAGGGGGGCTGACCACAATAAGTTCACGGATTAAATAAACTTTTTCTTTATTCGACTATATAGGTATGGTATTAAACCAATCCTTGATAACCTTTCACCTAGAATAATATTGATCTCCAAGCATTGCAAGTCTATTTATTGGAACCTTCTTATACAAAATTCTAAAAATTCTTTTTATCCTTTAATTACTTCTCAATAAAAACTAGGCACTAGGAGATTCGTATGGTTTTAAAACATTAATTTTATATCCCATTATACAAGGAAGCAAGAAAATTAACATCCACAAGATAAAAGCCTTATTGGGGAGAGTAAAAAACACAAGTCTTAACCATTCAATAATGAAATATTCAATTCAATTTAACAATGTAGCAGCATTGTTAGAAACCCGCGTGAATTCACAGCATGATAAGAACACGAATATTGTTATTTACAAATTATTTACAACAGCAAGATGTTGTAGGAAACCATTAAAAAACAGGCTGATAGTCAGACAAGGCACTGTAAGCTCCACGGACTAGCATTCATTACACATGTGCTGTGGTCATGGAACAACCATCTTTATATGGCCTTGAGAACAAGTTTACTTCCTGAATGAACACCTTTCGCAGCAACTCTTAACAATGCACGAGTTTGGTAAAGCCTGTTATCAAAATATTAAAAAAATAATAATGAAAAAGTTTATCCTCTTGAAATTAGTTTAGAACCTTTATCTATTTTCATCATATTGCCTTCTATCTGTCTTTCTCAACTCGAGGAAAAGAAAAGAAGATTATAGGTGCCAAAAGCAAGTCAAACAAAATAACAGTTGAGAGAAGGAAAATTACCCAGCCAAAGCAAGTCCCCACGTAGCCAGAGTATAAAACAACTTTCCAGCATGCCAAATATCTACAATCTTTTCCAGTTTGCTAGCTCCTTGCAATGCTTTTGATATTGCTGTCATCAGATAAATTGACATATAAGATGAAAACATTGTTACTTAATCACAATGGCCAAAAATGTGTAATTGCACTTCATTCAAAATCCTTTCGATCAAAATATTGCCAATGGTAGTTAAGAAACTGAATAAAATAAGGTTAAATTATAAATTTGGTCCATACATTTGATGCATTTTTTTGTTCAACTCCTATATGAAAAGGTTTACATTTTTGTTCTTACAAGTAAAATAGTTAACAAATAAGTCCCTGCCATTTGCTGAAGTTATGAGAGAATTTAGATTATTTTTTCAATACCAAAAATTTAAGTACAAAAGTGTTACATACAGTGACTAAAATAAAAAGTGTCAGATGGAAGGACTGCGTCAAATTAAACATAGTTATAACTTTGGCACAGTAGAGATCAATTGATAAATTATATTTTTAGGTAAGGAATCCAAATGTGAAGTTCTTGTTTGTTTTTCATGTAAGGACTAGAACAGCAAAAAAAATGCCAGGTAGAGACAGACCAAATTTTTATTAAGTCCATAGAACAAGTATCAGATTTTGAAAGCAAGTTAGTGGTGTCCAGCTCCAAGGATCAGATTTTTTTATATAAAAGCATAATATGTAGAAAAATTAAAAGGAATATATCATTGAGATGGAAGATTATGAGAAAAAAGTATTCGCCTCATCCGTCATGTTTGAAAGGGACTATCCACTAGAATCATTCATGCTGCACAATAGTCACAAACTAATGATTCAGCTGTTAGAAGTTTATGGTTGCTATGAACAGTAGCTTCTGCTAGGCTATGATTGCTAGACTAGAGTGTAGGGAAAATTATATATTTTTCACTTATTTACTTCCTTACCTTAGGACTTCCACAAATACTGTTATAACTACCTCCCTAGCTAAGTGCCCATTGTGCATACAATTGACAAAATGAACTACCCATGTGTCAGAGCTGGGACACCTGGGTACAGGACAAAAGTTAGTTCATATTGGGAGCAATAACCTTCCTCTCTTCTCGGGACATATACTCATATTTCGTAAACCTTAGCTATTGGGCTACACTCGATGCTGTGTCAGCCCCTGCTTGGTGAAGACTCTCCCCCCAACCTAGATAGTAAAAGCCTGTGTGTTTTGAAACTGTTGTCAATCATTCTCGTCACTTAACATCTCTCACAAGTCATGCAGATGTATCAGCATCAAATACCTTCACACAAAACACCCTAATTGCAGGTCCTCTGAAGTTGATAACTCGTACAAGCCACCAAAACCTCCACTTCTTGGATGCATTCCATCACAATAACCTTCTGATGAAATGTCAGCAGTCTTTTGTAGAAGTTCCCAAGGCTACATAAATTAAATCTTCACATCATGCTACTTTGAAATTCGCCCACATTGTGTGTGCATTTTTCTTTCTCCAAAATAAAACCAATCACACTTTCTCTCTTCGATATTGATGAAACTAATCACACTTTCTCAAGAAGTCAAATATGAATTACTTAAAAAAACTCTGCCCTTACTTTGCAATCCTGGTAGACCAAGTTTTGAATAAGGCAGTTCTAATTACGTATTATGAAGTTATTATTCAAATTTTTATATTCATCTCAGATTAGACAGTTATATGTTATGATGTGACTGCTACTGTGATATTTATGGGGTTGTATCATAGACTTGTAGAAAGCAATTAAGGTATCAGATAGTTAATCCTGGTGTTTTGAAAGAGGAATCTCCTTGGGGGGAGGGAATCATGTGTCCGTAGAAGATTATACTCAAATCTAAAAATCAGGTTATTTTTAAAATTTATCCAAAATTCAGTGTGTTTATTTTATATGTAGGTAATTCAACCTTTCAAGCCCCCACAACATGAGTTTTCACCATTATATTCGAATTCGTTGATTTCTGTGTGCTCTTTAGTGTGTTTGTTCAGTGCAGGAATATTCTTCTGGCACCTGCTGTGCTGTTCATTGGTGTTGTCATTCTCCAATTAAATCATACCTTTTTAGTCCATTGGCCATAGTTACTTATTGCCATCTCCTTCCACATTTTTTTATCTTGTACAAGGAAACTGCAATCCATACTTGCTGGTCATCCACTTTAGGAATTCAAGGGATGACTCAAGAACAGAGTCCTAACTCCATTCTCACCAACAGGAGATCTGATAGGTCAGACTAAATCGATAGGAACCCATATGGTATGGTCACTGGATTAGTGTAGGGAAAATAGCCAAAATGGAACGAGTTGAAAAGAATAAATTGTTTTCTATTATGAGAGTGTAGAAAGAAGAAGAATTCCTTCTCCAACCCTTAAACTGAGAAATTTCAGTTGACAAACTACTATTGCATTGCAATATAATTATAAAACTAATTAGCTACTTTTTCACTAGTTTAAACTTCCTTTGCTACTAACTTCCCAACCACTGTTATAACCAGCTAACTAATCCTCAGACTCGTGATTTGTATTTCATCGGGAATAAAACCCCAAAATCCTACCCTCAATGTTCTACTAAGGCACGGCCTCGTTTCTTCACCAATCACAAAATATAAAAGGGTTGGAGAACCTGATATCAATCCATTTGACCTAGAGCAGATTAGAAGCTACAAATCAATATGCTTTATGGTTTAGTTGAAGGAAGTGTAGAGGAAAAACCATTAAGATACAAAATATGACAGAAAACTCACCTTTCTGCAGTTCCTCCGGTGAAAAATTCTGCAATTATAACAAGGCAAATAAAGTCAGATACATACAGCAAAATAAATAACTAAGCATGCACATTCTACAAACACACACAAACCAGAGCTTTCGGGTTTGACAAAATGCATTTGGCCATAAAGTTGGCAACACCATCAACCACATGTTCCTGACTGATGACCAAGTAACTCTCATCATCAATTCCACTCAATTCCTCAACGTTACAAGGATCCATATCATCCTTAACCCAAACCCACCAACTGGGCTCTTGAGAGTCAACATTGACCAAAATATCTGCTGATTGATAATCAACCTCTGTCAAATACCAAAAGCAAAAACCAAAAAAATGTCAATATATAAGGATTCCAACGCATACATGACACACCTTCAACAGCAGAGAAATTTACCAGTAGCCTCCTTGAAAGGAAATTGATTTCCTCCGCTAGCAGTTTCCTGTTGTAGGAACTTGAGCCGAGTCAGGTACTCGTCAGACCTCATGGTAGCAACTAAGCGGTCATTTAACTACAACCAAATATCCCCAAATTATAAACAAGGAACAGGTAAAACAACATGACCACGGCTAAAACACAATGCAGCGAAACTAATAATCCTTGTAATGAAATTATGGAAATGCTTACAGATTCATAAACGTTGATGAAATAATATCACACGAAATGTTTGACGAGACCCAAAGTAGCTAGCTCATACCCAATTATTAATAAACTAAAAGCATCCAATCTAAAAATAACCAAGTTTTCTTTTATCTATTTACCAATATTCCCACGAGTATAGACTAATGCCACTAATTCACCAGACTGAGGGTGATGGTTAGGCATATGTCACCCAAAATGGCAACTTTATGATATCTGGAGTCTCGGTTTATTTCCAATGCGATTAATATTACATTGGGTAACAAATAGCTTCATCGATGAAATAGTATATTGAATAGCATCCAATTCAAAAATAAAGTCTTCTCCCAGAAATTAGATTTTCTCTTTTACTTTCCAACCAGTACGTCCAGAAGCATAGCCATGACTGAATTCACGCTCGTTTGTCAATTAAACATACCGAGACACATATTTCAATGTAAAATCCATTACCTAGATCAATTCAGACATTCATCACATCACAATTAATTCCATAAATATTATTCCATCTAAACACAATTTATTTTTTCAAACTTTAGAAAAAGCTGGCCCTGAGGTTGAAGGTAAAATGCAGTCCTGGTGGGTGATAAAGCTAAATAATTATGAATTTCATTTTAAAAGAAAACATTAAAAAATATTCTTTGATGAAAATGACATACCGTAATTTTAGAAAAGAAAACACATTAGAGAAAATAGCATCATTTGATAGAATGAGGAAAGAGAAAGGGCTATTGAAATTTGAAATATACATCGGGAGGGCAATCATCGACGCAAGGCGATTCAGAGAGGTTTTGGAGCAGTTTCAGATTCTGATGCAGCAAGTTCCTGAGGCGTTGATTTTCTGATCGCAGGGCTTCCAAATCATGGTCGGAGGGGCAGTCATCGGCGGTGGTGGCGGGGACGGAATGACCGTGGCGGCGGTAATGGTGGGTGTGTTCAACGGCGGTCCAAGCCACATCGGCGACCTCGAGCACCGTCTTGGCCACCTCGACGCTTCGCATGATTTGATTTCTGAGATTTGGGTCTTTCGATTGGGCGAATATTCGGTTCTGATAATTCTGTTAGGGTTTCGGTTTCCGGAGGGAATAGATTTTCGTCGTTTTGGTCTTGTGAAGAGGATGGATCGAATATTACGAACACGATACAGTTTCGCCCTTTGGCGGAAAAAAAAAAAAATTTTGCTTGAATATTAAAGAAGAAGTGTTTTTTTAAATATGTATAAAATTCTTAAATTTTTGTATTTTTAAAATATAAAAACTCATAAATTTGTTTATTAAAAAAAATAGAGTTGGCAATAACTCGCGTAACTAAAAAACTTAAATTAGTTAACCTATTGTTTTCCTTATTTAAAAGAAATAAATAGTACAATTATTAATTTTCATATTTAGAGATTATGTAGCGTTTCACTTACAAGTCATTTCATTTTATTCTCTCTACGTAAACTCACCAACAAACAATTATTTATACAGAGACAACTTCAAATGGAAGAAGAGTATTTTAAAAATAGTAAATGAAAATATTTATTGTAGTTTAAAAGTTCAATATAACATTTTCTATTTATATATCATGATCGAATAATAACTGAAAATTGATGAGGTTGTGGGATTGTTTTAGAAGATTATATTTATGGGACTCCCATAAATTAATTAATTATATTTATATCACTTAGAGATTATATTTAATAGAAGATTGTATTTATTAATTAATTACAACCTTTAGAGATGCTGTTAATTATATCACTTTATATTATTTAAGTCATTAGGTTACCCATAAATTAATTGGGTTCACCATGAATTTTAGTTGGATTGAATTGAATTTTTTTAATAACAAGTTAAAACGAGTTTCTCACACTTAATCATGAGTTAAATAAATTTAAACTAGATTAATAATGAGTTAACCTATTTTTTTCTAATTTTTAATTTTTTTATTAATATATTAGTGCAAATCCATGAGAAAATAAATATTTTAACGATTTAATTAATCCATTTATTTTAATAAATTTAAAATAAAATAAAAAAAATATATAATATTTAAGTGGATCATTCCATTAATTTGTGGTGGTGGATTGAATAGTATTATAAAAATTTTAGTTGAAAAAAATAAATCAAATTAAACTAACCCACTTTTAAGATAAATTGTGATAGATAATATTTATAATCATTTTGACATTCCTTATCTAACAACTTATTAATATTGAATTAGAAATAAAACTAGAATTATAAATTGAATAATTTACTATAATTACCTATACTTTTTTTAATACACATCTTATATATACATAAAAAATTATTTTAATTTATACATTTAGAAACTTAAGCTATCTTTGAAATGAATGACACTATCTAATATAGTTAATTGTTGATGTAGAACTTCAATGTATATCAATTATCACATTGACCTCAAGTAAAATTTAAGGAGAACAAGTTTTACAATTTATTCTTTTTTAAATTGTCTTAATGACAAATTGAAAAAAAGAAAATAGTGAACGGAAAACTAACACCTAGGGAATTTGAGAAAGGCACGTGAGTGGCACAATAATTGTCGCTGTCGCATGTCTTATATTTCCTATACAAATCATTATTGTTTTCTGTTCTCAAGCTCCATTCATGTACAGTGTTTCGTCAAATTTCTATCATTTTTCTATTATGACGGGACACTATGCTCAAATTTTCCAAGGGTCTCATATTGTATGTACTGTTAGGTTTTTTCAATACATATATTCTTTTATGATGCCAGATCATTTCGTGTCGTTCCGCTTTTAATTTCTATAGAATAGGGGATGTAAGTTCACGGTGATAAGTTAGGAAATCATATTGATTAACAATATATATAACAAGTTATAATTTAAGTTGATATGATAATCTAAATTTTAAGTAATTAATATTATAAAATATTAATTTATTATTAAGGAAAATACACTTATATGTAGATAGTCTAATATTCAAATATTTATCTTAATATATATTTATGTTGAAAAAATTATGTCTCATAAAAAATTACATGATGTGAAATAATAATTTTTCTGCTTAAAAGATCATACATGTGTAACCTTGATGGTTTGATGGGTAGTCTAGAAAAACACACGGAGTGGACCTGACTCGCAATTTATTGATTGTAGTATTTAGAAATAGAAGTAACAAAAACAATCAAAGATACAAAGATGAAATAATATTGGATTTTTACAATAGATGATTTGTATTGAGGAACGATATCCTAAAACTTTGGTGGAGAGAATGTTTAATAGATAAATGATTATTTAAATAACATGGTCCCAAAAGAAAGTGACATGAATAAATATGCTAATAAGATGTGAATAATATTGTTAATGAATTTAATATGTGGTTCAACTTTTCCATGAAGGAAATGTGTGAAGACAAAATAACTTAAATTACATTTTAATTTGCTCACAATTTTTTTAAAAGAAATCCTTAGCAAATTTTTTTTTGTTATCACATTTTAAATTTTTAATATTTCTTTCAAATTGAATTTTAATTAGATTTTAAAAAAATAAAAAATGGAATAAAAAAATTATAATTTTTTTTAAAATATATCTTTAATTATATGGATAATTTTTAAATTCTTTTATTATTAACATTTTTATTAGATAAAATGAAAAATTACTACACTTATATATTAAATAACTAATCAACAATTTAAATTTAATTAATTAATTTTATAATTAAAATTATAATATTTTAATATATTTATATATTATAATAGTATAATATAAAAAAATAATATTTTTAATTATAATTATTTTTATTTTTATTATAATATATAAATAATTTTTAAAACCAACCACTCCCATCTAATTTTGTATCGATCAAATTGATAAATTAGATAAAACAAACCAAAATGACCGACTAAAACTACATGTTTACTTTGTATATGTTTTAATTGATGATAGACTTTTAATTAATAAGTAAATCACTTTTATATAACAACTTTCCTCCATTTTTTCATTTTTCATTACAAGAAACTTCAACATATTACTTCCTAATAAAAAAATTATATCCCAATACGAAAGACATCATCAACAACGAGACACACATTTTAATTTGATGAATTTTAAATCTTAATTAGTTGGTAGACTTTCGCATGTACTTTCAATTTTTTACATTTCACACCTCCGTTGTCATCAAATAGTGACAGTTTTTTAGTCATTAACTTTCTGCCTATCCTTTTTCAACATCATCGCGTCGCAAGATGAACCATTACTTATTATCGTGAATATATCCAATAAGGTGATAGCTACGGGAAAGAAAATATGAAAGTTGATATGATTATCAATTTTTTAGATACAATCTATCTAAATTAAAGAAAAAGAAAATGAATACAAATATTTTTGTTTATGGGTTTCATTCTAAAATGTATTTTTATTTACATGTTAGTGTTTCTAGTGGAATTTCGATCGATTTCGATTCTAAACAGTGTTATGGTCCTAATCGAAATCCTCCCACGTAAGTTCTTTTACTTAGGCTAGTGATCGACTTTCAATCGAAAGCGTGTATGAGAATCGAAAGTTACAGCCTATAAAAATGCTATTTTTTAGTATTTTGTATTTTAAAGTACTAAAAGCAGTAAAACTATCGAATCGAAAAATAGAATGTTAAATTGCGAGGAAATGTAAATTACGAGAACCCCAAGTTTGCAATAATTGTAAATGACAAGGAATCGGAAATGACGGAAATGTAAATGGCAGGAAGTTAAGTTTGCATGAAAAACTAAATGACGGGAAATCGGAACGTGCAGAAAATATAAATAACTGGAAACTTAAACGCAGAAACTTAAATTTTCATTGAATTGAAATGACAAGGAATCGAAAGTACAGAAACATAAAACTGCTGAATTTAAATTGCATCAAAGTAAATTACCAAGGAAAATACAGAAAGCGGTAAATGTACTCAGTGAGCAAGGAAATCCAGATTGCCAGAAGCTTCATGGTGTTCGTCGTTTCTCCGGTAGACTTCTCACTACTGATTCTGTCCTCTGCCAATTTCTGCCCCCCCCCCATTGTTCCGTCCTTCTTTGTTCTATTTATAGGACATCGTTCAAGCTTTTTAGGAGCAGTTAACAAGGCTGCTACCACGTTCTACGTGCATATGACAGTTTACCTTCCACGGTCTCCCACGTTCTCACGATCTTCGACTTCCTCCAGGGTTTCGAAACTGCTCTCTATACGTGCGTTTGACTTGTTCTTCTCTTCACGGTTTGGCCAGAATCCCAATGTCCACATTGGCTTTCTTCACTCTCGATTTTGTATTTTCGAGAATTTCGATTTTACTTGTGATTCCTAGGTCTCATATAACTTAGTTTTTATTCGATAACAGGCATTTGGTTATCATTCACTCGATTCTCGATTGTGCTTCTCGATGCTACGTACTTCTAATTGGACATCGAATGATTTCTTTTGTCTATCTTACCGATTTATCAATCGATCATATTTCTCGATTCCACAATAACAAAATGCCCCCTTGAAAGAATATGAATGATTTCAGTTTATATTCTTTCAATATTCCCGCCTTAATGTTTGGAAGCTCACAGAACTTTAGGGTTTAGGTTTTCTGGGGTTTTAGGGTTAAAAGGGTTTTAGGTTTTCCTTTCTGTTTTACGTCGCCATCATATCAGTCTGTTGCTTTTTCAGTACGCTACATTTATTACCTTTCGCGTCTGTCGTTCCAGGCTGAGAAGTCTAATTTGTTGAAGAATCAGAAACTCAGTCGAGGGGAAGTTTTGACTACGTTGTCTTCGGTTGATGTTGAAATCGAAGAGTTGGAGAAAAGGCTGCAACAACTGAAGTCGCAGAGAGAGTTCCTTACATCAGAGTTAGATAAGATTAACTCTTCTGCGAAAGAAGTGGCACTGTCTCTTGGCCAAAGCATGGAGCGCGAACACAAGTTGACCATCGAAGAGAACTCGATTTCTTTATCTTGGGCTAATCTGTTAATGGATTTCGAGAATTTAAAAACTCGATATCTATCTTTGTAAACATTACTCCATT